GATATACAGTATATCACATACATGTGATATCCAATTGTATGCTTGTTTATGAGATAATAGAAGAAGAAAACGGAATTCACAGGAAGAGTTTAGGAGAACTGAGAAAAGTAAAGTTGTACTAAATGAAAAGTAAAGTTAACTTCCCTTGAATTTTACGGTCATCCCGTAAAAGTGGTTTTACAAGAAGTTTTTTAGGGGAGCACTTGAAGTTGCTCTAACGACATACCCAGCGATAACTTGGCCGATGATCAACTGGTACCGAACGGCGCATTTGCCTTGGAGAGGCAAAGCGACGGGGGAGGAACAAGGAAGTAAATGGATCATAACAGATTCAGAGTGTAAGCTTACCTGACAGGCCTTATGGCAATGCTTACAAGCTAACGGAGAACCTAATAATATGTATCCCAATTTTTCCAGATGTCTGTTGGAGATCTGAGCTCACAATATGGCAAAGACAATGAAAAAGAAATCGGGTTCCTGGTACAATTTATTTGGGTACATGCACATGTTATGTATCCAACATATTTCGACAGTTGGTCTCAATGCCAGTGTCACAGTATGTCTGCCAGTGCCTTGTTTTTGTTATGTAACTGGAGACACAATTCAGGATCCTTACAACAACAACAACAACAAACTGCCGCTAAACTCTAATGGATCAGAAGCTATACATGCTGAAACAACTTGGACTTAAGCTCAACACCTTTTCGTTAAACAGTTGGAGTTCGTTGGGTAGAGGTCCCTGAGGGTATAGGTTCTGCTAGACGAACACCGAGTAAACTGATATATGCACATGCAGATGTTATCTCCTCAACCATCAAATGTACATCTGGTCACTCAAGTGTACGATAAGTACACCTATAAACTATGGAATTGGCAGATATTCAGGCCGGCAACAAAACCATCCTTGTGCCCATCTGATCAATATTATTGTGGTGTTTTAGCCAATCACCTGCGAATTGGACATGAAAAAAGTTAAGGCCTAGTCTGGTGAGTGAAACGTGCATTTAGCAATCCAGGTTTGAGCTCTCACCTGCTTCACCAAAGGAAGTGCATTAGTTTCCCATTCTGTTGACCATTTGGAAGATGACCCTGTACTCAAAGCACCACCTTTCAGGGATTTCAAGGTGTCACATTCCTCCGGAAATCCCTTGAAGAGCACCTGCGTGATTTTTCAATTGCAGTACCAGTTCATGTCTCTTCTAATGTTTAAAACAAAGCCATGATGAAAAGTACTTATACTAATTTTAAAACGCATTGAAACAATGACCCAAGTAGTCATACAATGAAATGAAATGGTAAAAGATAAAGACTAAAAGTGGTCCTCACCATAAGTTCATCTGCAAGCTCCGAAGATGTTGAGAAAAGAAGTCCATTTCTGTTTACTTTCACAAGCTCCTCGATGCTGAAAGAAAAAGAAAGCCAGAGTCTTATAACATAGAGCAACCAAAAGGCCAATTCCAAAACATAGCAATTCAAACATCTAGAAACATGGGTTACCAGGAGAATGAAGCAGCACAAACTGGTAATCCACATCCAAACATATCAACAACCTAAACACAACCATTCAAGTTACAATGCAGAAAATAAAAAACTCCTACATCATTAAAGTAAGCAGATGATGTGAGTTAACCTTCATAGGTAGATCAAGCCCCGACGAGGATGTATGCAATGATACGCCTAGATCAGCTGATCCTGTATTGCTCAAACAATCAGCACCTATCCTACAGTATAATTTTTTTTTTGGCAAGTGATTGGCATACCTAGCAACAGAGGATAGTCCTCCGATGCAAGCCACATAGTCCGGAAGGCAACACGTCTCAGTTTCAACCTTTTTATTTGTTCCTCATATTTCTTTCTATCAGGCCCTTTACCTCCAGTGTCAACATTTACTAAAATCAGAGCAATGACTAAAATTAGTGATTCAAGCAGATATAGCAGAACGCATGATACCTGTGATAATGAAAAGCAATCTTGGGTAATCAAATTGCTTTCCGTTCTTGATATCAATCCAAAGCTGCCCCTCATCCATTGAATCCTCTTCACCTAATGTTGCAGCAACACGTCTATCATACATCAGTGCTGCTTCCAGAAGTATACTGAAATCTTCATCTGGTGTCCTGGAATGCAGGTAGCAAAGGATTACAAGTTTATGCGCATTGTTAACTGTCTGCTCAATAATCACGTGAGATGAACATAAAGAGTTCCGCAATATAGACCACTCGGTCCAAGAGAACATACCAGCTTGTGCTGCTCACAACAAGTGCAGGTCTATTAGGCTTCAAAGAAACTCCACCATCAATCTTGCTAGTAAGTACAGTAGTGCTCTTGTCTTCCACTTCTTTTTCTTTGTTGTAACAGAAAACCAAATAAAATAAATCAAATTGGAATATGCTTATACCATGAAAACTATTCCAGTTGATTGGAAAATAACATTACCAACAGAGATGCAATCAGCACTGCCCGTAGCAGTACAAATGGAACTACCCAACCTGCAGAATAACTACTTCATGTGCTAAGGTCACATATACTGATATGCAGTACTGCAAGTAGCGAGGGAAGAACTGACAACAGATGTTCACCTCATGTTTCTCCGTCAAGGAAGCAGGATGGAAAAATTCAGGAGAATGATCATAAAGAACTGTTGCTCTGAAAATTGTGGTTACGTTAGTACAAACTGCAGCATGCGAAGCAGATATTTTACAAAAAAAAGTTGAAGTTCAATCTGATTACTTGATTCCCCAATTTTGAGAAAGCTCGTGTTGCATTGCTTTAGTAACACAGAAGGCGCCATCAGTCATCCGCCCAAAGTGCTTCTAGAACCTAAAATGCAGGAAAACATCACTAATTAAAACACATGGCCAATAAGATATAGAATCAGCCTAGCAGTTACGCAAACATGGTTGGAGGGTTTACCAGAAATATATTTTGACTATTACATGACTTCTCCCATGAGACAATCCAAGCAAAGTATATCCAAAGTTATGCCAATCCACAATAAATTTAGCACCTCTTAGCCAGCTAACCAGTTTTACAGCAGCCAATGTTGGAACGGAGGGTGGATTCTGTTGGACAAAAGATGGTCAAATGACACAAATCAGGTCTCTCATTGTACTGTGAAATACGATAACTAAATCTTGACATTTTTTATTACCAAAAAAATTCTTTAAAAAATATCAATCAAAAGGGATATTCTGTAACTAAGTAAGGGTCAGAGTAAACGACTTTGTAATATACTACTCCCTCCATCCCATAATGCAGTGCATATATATTTTTTTTAAAAGAGTTAAACTTTACAAACTCCGACCAAGTTTGTAGAAAACAATATTTACATCTAGAATACCAAACACATGTCATTAGATACATCATGAGACATATTTTCATATTGAATATCTTTGATATTGTAGACATAAATAGTTTTCTCTATAAAGGTGGTCAAACTTCACAAGGTTTGATTTAAAAATAAAAAATCTATATGCACTACATTATGGGTCAGAGGGAGTACAATCAGCATTGCCAAAATGAGCATGGTGTCAACAACAGGTCACTGTACATATTGTATAGCATGAGTTAGTATTCAATACTTAAGCTGCACAATAAGCCAACTATGACTATTCATTTACTCAGTATCAGTATGGTTTTATTCAAACGAAATTGCTTAGCATGGTGAACAATGAATTCTAGATTGTTGAATTCTCTTAAAAAATAACTAAACTTGCTGACAATGGCAGTGATCAGACATACTCTTCATGTAATTTTGAACCACATATGCAAATAAGAAAGCTGTATATAATTTTACCTGAACAATGAAGACATCAGGGCGAGGAATCTTAAAGCAGAGAAACCAAATCAGCATGATAAACTGGATGGCAGCTTTAAGTAGCAGTGCCAGGGCACCACATATCTTTGAGATTCCTGATAACTGCACTGATTTCTGAAGATACAACCTTGAAGTCAACTGTAGTTTGAGAGAACATATAAAATAGAATGGCTCAAATAACCAATACCATCTCATGGATGTGAATCGACGGATTCTCTCTCAGTGATAAATGGGGATCACTTCCTGCTCATAGACATAAAATAGGACACAAGGTCAGATCTCAAAAAAGCAACACTGAAATCTGATGCAATTTTGGCTTGTATGCCGTCCCTTAAGCTGTAGGAGTACTGGTATGTAGGGTATAAATAGCTTCATACTACAGTTCGGGAGTAAAATTCAACAGCACGATGAAGGTGTAAGGAACAGAGTACCTCCGTTTGCAACAATGTCCACTTCCATACCAGCCTGTTGAGAAAAATAACGAACAACTAAGTGTGAGATACTAGAACACAATGCTCTCAACAGCAAGGAACATGTGCCAGCCTAAAGCCTTCCTAAAGGTACCAACCAGCTTCCAAAGATTGCTTCCCCTTGTTGAAAAGGGAAAAATACATGGACATGGTAAATAGTACGCCCCTCTAATCCAACACGATCAATCAGAACCAACAAGGGACTGCGGATTTGGGAGACAAGTGCCTTACCTGGTTGGCGAGGGAGAGGGAGTGGTACTGCATGCGGGGACTGCGGCCGATGTCGCCCCAGTACAACCACCGCCGCGCGTTTCCTCCTTCCTGCCTCCCCCGCCATCGTCGTCGATCCGC